TAGGGCGGCGACAAGGCCGCTGGAGGGCGGTGGCGGGGCCGCTGGAGGGCGGTGACGGGGACGCGGTAGGGCGGCGACGGGGCCGCTGAAGGGTTGCGGCGGGGCCGCTAGAGGGCGGCGACGGGGCCGCGGTAGGGCGGCGATGGGGCCGCTGAAGGGCGGCGGCTGGGCGGCTAGAGGGCGGCGACGGGGCCGCGGAAGGGCGGTGACGGGGCCGCTGAGGGGCGGCGGTGGGGCCGCTAGAGGGCGGCGATGGGGCCGCTATAAAAAGGCGACGGGGCCGCTGAAGAGCGGCGGCGGGGCCGCGAGAGGACGGCGACGAGGCCGCTTGGAGGGCGGCAACGGGGCCGCGAAAGGGCGGCGACGCGGCCGCGAAGGGTGGCGGGTGGGCCGCGGAGGCGGCGACGGGGCCGCTAGAGGGTGGCCGGGCCGCAACGGGTGGCGACGGGGCCGCTAAGGGTGGCGACGGGGCCGTGAGTGGGGGGCCGTGAGTGGGGCCGCTAAGGGCGGCGCGACGGGCCGCTAAGGGGAGGGCGCTCCACAGGGCACGCCTCGGTCAGGGGCGATTCGATCTCAGGGCAGAAAAAAAAGTTTAGTGGTGGGCCCAAGTAAAAGTTCCCACTAGGGAACCTGCTCTATACCATGTGAATAGATGAGGAATGAATGATGAACTAGGAAATGAGTTGGGTACAAATATGAAACCCTAGAAAGTTGTACCCCATACTGTCTACCCCACTACAGCCTAGAAAGACTATAGCATATAAGTTCGACATTGAACTCCTTGAGCACTCACCATATGTCCAAGGAACTGGACTTTCTTCAACGCAAACTCGCTCTTGGATAGTTTCGCGTAGAAGCGTTCTCGTCGAAGAATTTCAAACACGCGTCGCAGATGCTCAACGTACTGCTTCATGTCTTTCGAGTAGATTAGGATGTCGTCCAAATATACCACCACGCACTCGTCCATAAGGGGCCGAAGGATGTGGTTCATTTCCGCCTGAAATGTGGCTGGTGCGTTAGTGAGTCCGAACGGCATCACGAGATACTCGTACGACCCATATCGAGTTCGGAAGGCAGTTTTGTGGATAGAGTTGTCCGCCATACGAATTTGCCAGAATCCCGATCTGAGGTCGAGCTTGGAGAATACCGTAGCACCGCGAAGTTGATCGAGTAAGTCGTCGATCCATGGTATCGGGTATTTATTTTTTAAAGTCTGCTTGTTCAAGGCTCGGTAGTTGATGCACATTCGCAGACTTCCGTCCGGCTTCGGAGTGAAGAGAACTGGAGCTCCGTACGGCGAAGTCGAAGGTCGAATCAGCCCTTTCTCCAGGAGATACTCTATTTGTTTTTTCATATCGGCAAGCTCTGTCGGGCTCAGCCGGTATGGTGCTCGGAACATCGACTTAAACCCCGGCTCTTCTACGATCTCGTGTTGGTGTGTTTGGTATGGCGGTGGTTGATCAGGTAAATCGTCGGGGAGATCGTCCTGGAACTCTTCAAGAATTTTCTTGACTGCTGGAGGGAGTTCATGGATCTGCTTCTCTCCGCTGTCTGCTTCGTTGACTATCGCCATAAATCCCGCTGTGGTCCGTTTGACGTCCTTTTCAAAGCGTGCGAGTGTCTCGACTATAATATTTCCCGTGTCGTCCCATTTGGGAAGGCTGATTTTCCTCCTGTTGTTGATGATGTTGGCCGTCCGGTTAACCCAGTTGATCTCGGGGTTGAATTTTTTTAAAAGTCTCTCCCCAAGATTACGTCGAGTCCTTTAATATTTGTGACGAGGAGAGCAAGCTTCCATCACAGGGGTCCAATCTGTTGTAGTAACCGTGTTTCCCCATAGATGGGTAGCTTACTGCCATCCACCATCGTTGCAGAGAAGCTTGAGGACTTGATTTCACCTCTGAGTCGATCGATTGCCTTTTTGTCATAGACGCTGTGCGATGCCCCGCTATCCGCGAGTGCTTGGAGGCACAGTCCGTTGCAGATCACCTCGAGCAGGATTGGCGAGCGTTGCTTAGAGTACCCAAAAATAGTCTCATTAATAGGATCAAAGGGTACATCCCAATATTCAGTACACACCGTGGTTCCACTGTTTGCCCCTGGACTAACAGCCGGCCTGGACTGCGTGGAGAAGGGCTCCTCTCCAATGCCAGGAGTAGAGGTAGTAACCGTACTGGTTGAACCTGAGGGGGTGGATCCGGTCGATGCTCGCGATCCACTGGATGCATCCTGGAGGGATTTTCAGAGTTTCCGCAGCTTTATTTCAACTCCCAGCTGCCTCCTCAGCTGCTTCAGCTCCATAGACTTCTTCCTTATGGAGTGGAGAGTCGTCTTGGGCTGGTTCCGGGAGAGGACGTTGACGTCGTGAAAAGGCCTGCTCCTTTCCACACTCCTTAATTTTTTCCCCAGCTCTGTAGGCACCGATTCCACTTCTTTAATTGTCTGCTTCCTCTGGAGTTCTTCCCGGAATTTGTTTGTGGCTCCGGACCCGCGAAAATCATCAATCTTCATTAAAGCATCTTTGAAAGATAACTTTAACGAGTTCTGATTTTTTCCTAGTCGAGTCTGTTTTTGCCGAGGATTTCTTTTCCAAAAGGTTGAGTTGATGCGCGGCGTAACAGACCGCAAACAGCCACAGAAAATGGGGGGCAGCCGCATGGATCATGGAGGTACGAGCGACCTCCATCACTAAGCCAATGCAGCGCTCAGCAACCCCATTCTGCTGCGGAGAGGCCGGGAGCGTAAACGTCTGGCAGATGTCGTGCTCCTCACAGTAGGTCTTGGGCACCTCGGGCGCAGCCCCCAAGCCCACCGCTGCCAGTAGTGCTGTGCCCGGCATTTGATTCGAAAAGTGGCCAGCAGACGTGCAATGGAGGAGCAGAGGAGGGCGGTAGGGCGGCTTGGTCCTTCTTCACAGGGAGATGCGGCGAATGCCAACTGAATGAGCCGCCTGCCCGTGTTGACCTTGTCTGCCCGTGTTGCCCTTGTCTGCCCATGTTGCCCTTGTCTGTCCGTGTTGCCCTTGTCTACCCGAGTTGCCCTTGTCTGTCCGTGTCTGCCCTTGTCTGCCCATGTTGCCTTTGTCTTCCCGTGTCTGCCCTTGTCTCTGCCTGTCTCTGCCTGTGTTTGTCTGTGTCTGCCCTGGTCTGCCCGTTTTTGCCTGTGTTTCCGGATGCAGGTTAATTCGGTGAAGGAGGTTATTGAAGAGGCAGAGTGACTGTAGCCGGTGCTTGTACTTGTTATTGGACGTCTTTCAACAAACTTAGAATTAATGAGCATAGGCTAGAGGAAAAGAAGAAGCCCGGTCGTCGTTCTGAACCTCATATCAGGCAACCTTGTATCAGACTTGCCTGGTAAAACTAGCCAAGGATTTCGGGTGAGCCTGATATGAGGTTCGCTTGATACGTGGTGCAGGAGCACGCTCAGCCATCTCAAAAGAACCCATACCCAACCAACAATTGCTGAACTTCCCCCAAATAAAGTGACAATGGACAACCGGCTGGTTTGAAAATATTAGGAAAAAATTGGGAGCTGGCCAATAAAGCCTGTGCTAAGCTACGAAGGGGTATGGGACATTTTGTTGCCTCGTCTCTATAGTAACCTGGTTGGTAAAGAAGTCTGAAAATTTTGAAATTGAACCACAAATTGAACTATGACAGACCACCAACCCTGAGATGTGAAGAAAGCACAAGCAAAGCAGAAACGTCAATTTTCTTTCCTACCCGCTTCTATCATTGCAGCCCATGCCCATCTCTTGCCTTCCATTTCCTACCCACCACACCTCCCTCGCGGAGGTGTTTTCAAAAAGAACACAGGCACACAGACACACACACACACACACGGAAGCACTGCCACAAGCTCACCACATCACAAGCAACGGGCCTTCTAGAGCCCCCCCCTTCCCCTTCCCCATGCATTAGACAGGTACACGATTCCCGTGCCTTTGGTGGGTGGGGAAGAGGGTGACATAGGATTGGGAAAAGGCTAAAGAAGCATCGCAATGGGCAGCCACTGCAAGCACCCTTCATGCGCAGATACACAATTCCCGTGGCCCTAAGGGGTGGGTGGCAGTGAGGGGAGGGAGGGCACAACAATCAGGGTTGGATTGAGAAGGGCGCCATGGCTTGGGCAGCCACTGCAAGCACCTTTCATGCGCACATACACGATCCCCGTGGCGAGAATGGTGAGCAAGGTGACATGGACGTGGGAATATGCTTGGTGAGGCATAAGAAAAAGGCCTGAGCAGGCACTGCAAGCACCCTGGATGCGCAGATACACGATCTCCATGGGCCTGGTGGGTGGATGGTAAGCAACGTGACATGGACGTGGGATCATGCTTGGCTAAGGCATAAAAAATATGCTTGCGTAGGCACTGCAGGAACCCTGGATGCATGGATACACTATCAATGTGGCCCTGGTGGTTAGTGAGTGGGAGACATGGTTTTGATTTGAGGTTTACAGGTGGTAAAGCTTGGAGTATATGTATAGGCAGGCACTGCAAGAGGGTGATGTGGCAAGAGGGTGACGTGGCAAGAGATTGACATGAAGAGCTCACTCGTCAAAGTCAAGAAAGTCAAACTCTCTCGTCAAAGTCAATTAAGTCAATGTCCCCTCCGTCCTCCTGCACTGCCAGTCGAATGCGCGTCTCCAACAGCTCCCTTATCATCAGCACAGTCTCGCTCTCATCCTGACGCCAGTGAGTGTTTGGGGGGCGAGAAGAAAGGAGAAAAGGGGAGGAGGAGGAGTTACTGGAATCATCTCCCATCAGTCTCCCATCTGTCTCCCATCAGTCGGTTTCGCATCGCATGCGTGTTTCCACCACCTCCCTTATCATCAGCACCGTCTCACTCTTGTCCTGATGCAGAAAAGGTGCGTGTGCGTAGGGGGGAGGAGTGAGTTCAATTGAGAAAGAAGCGCAACCAGAGGAGTGGAGCTACGAATCAGTCTTTAGCAGCTCCCGTATCATCAGCACCGTCTCACTCTCGTCCTGAGAGGGGTGGTCAATGGGGGAGGGGGAAGGGGGAAACAGCAGGGGGAGGTGAGACTTCAGCACACGACTGCTGTATCATCAGCACAGTCTCACTCTCGATCTGAAGCAAGACAAGACAAGGGGGGAGGAGCTGAGTAAAGAAGGAACGGATCTCAGTTCTAGTAATCTCAGCACCGTTTCAGGTTGTTGCACACCACCCCACATCTACTCCTACCCATTGCCACCGCACCCTACCTCATCACACCACTTTCCCTCATTGCGCCTGTACTGATAAGCCATCCCCCCCACCCCACCTCCGCCCTTCATTCCTCCACCCCACCTCTGCCCCTCATTCCCCAACCTCTCTCCCCACTTCGTCACTCCCCCCACCCCACCTCTGCGGGTTGTTGCTCCCCACCCCACCTCTGCGGCTGCTGCCTGCCTGTGCCGGGGGTTCAGCACCGCACCTATCCAACTCACCTCTCTACTCCTGCAATTTCCCGCCCCACCTCTGTCTCACCTCACATTCTCTACTCCTATCACTCCCCCCACCCCACCTCTGCTAGTTGTTGCTCCCCACTAGCTACTGCTGCCTCCATCACAATCTTCCGGTCTGGATTTCAGCTGGTTTCCAGCCAGAGTTCAAGACTCGCGGCGGAAATCTGACTGAAAACCAGGGTCGATTTCCGCCTGAACACATGGCACTAACGTGACTGGTTTTCTCGTGGATTGCAGGCCTATCATAGGATGGGTTCAGGGGTTCGGTTCAGCCTGCGCTCCAGCTGGTAACTGGCCGAAATGGGTGTGATGGTAACGCCACATTCCGCGTCGGAATCGCGCCTCGGGGCCAATAAATGTAATAATGTACACCATTCGTTTTTTGTATAGTAGTTTCTATTAAATCTATGTTCGATATAAATATTTTTATTGTGCTGATTTCTCAATTCGGTTTACAATTGTTTTTTATTGTTTTGCATATAATAGTTCAGCTGTTATTACTGTTGCTGTTTCTGTTATAATTGTTCTGCCCATATAATTATTAATATCAGAACACAGAAACTATTATTGCCCATATTACTGCTTTAAGGATCGGTGCATTTATTACCATTCTTACTAACCAGAAATTCAAACAGGCAATAGTGCAGGGTAATCCGACGCATCAATACGGACCCCGTTTTCGAACACCCACGCGTTTGTTGTCACATCATGCGTGACGCCCAGCACATTCACAGAGTGCTCCACCCAACGTCGAACCCTGATGCACGTTAGCTCGTACAACCTGCGGTTTTCACGCTGGTCCGTGCCCAGCTTGCCATCCCCTGCTGCCTCCAACAGTGGGTTCTCGAGCTGAACACATGAGCAAGGCGCAACAGCATTAACATGTTGATATTGAAACCTAACCGTTGGATATAATGAAAAAACACTTACTGAAAACAAGGCGAATGCCACCATGCGTGTCTTCCACGCTGTGACATCGACGCGGCGCCTTCGAAACGCCTTGCTCATGGCGATCGCAAACAATTTCGTGGAGAATGGGCGCTGCGTGATCTGGTCGACATGCCATTTCAGCCCCCACTCATCTGCCAGAGCATGTGACAGACGAGGGGACAGAGAAGGGGACAGAGCATGTGATAGAGGAGGTGAGAGCACGGGAAGGGACAGCGCAGGAGGGGAGAGCATGGGAGGAGACAGAGCATGAGGGGAGAGCAAGGGAGGGGACAGAGCAGGAGGGGAGAGCAAGGGAAGGACAGATCAGGAGGTAAAAGCACGGGATGGGACAGAGCAGGAGGGGAGAGCACGGGAGAGGTCAGAGCAGGAGGGGACAGAGCATGTGACAGAGGAGGGGACAGAGCATGTGACAGAGGAGGGGACAGAGCATGGGACAGAGGAGGGGACAGAATGTGACAGAGGAGGGGACAGAATGTGACAGAGGAGGGGACAGAATGTGACAGAGGAGGGGACAGAATGTGACAGAGGAGGGGGCAGAGCATGTGACAGAGGAGGGGACAGAGCATGTGACAGAGGAGGGGACAGAGCATGTGACAGAGGAGGGGACAGAGCAGGAGGGGAGAGCAAGGGAAGGACAGATCAGGAGGTAAAAGCACGGGATGGGACAGAGCAGGAGGGGAGAGCACGGGAGTGGTCAGAGCAGGAGGGGACAGAGCATGTGACAGAGGAGGGGACAGATCATGTGACAGAGGAGGGGACAGAGCATGTGACAGAGGAGGGGACAGAGCATGTGACAGAGGAGGGGACAGAATGTGACAGAGGAGGGGACAGAATGTGACAGAGGAGGGGACAGAATGTGACAGAGGAGGGGACAGAATGTGACAGAGGAGGGGACAGAATGTGACAGAGGAGGGGACAGAATGTGACAGAGGAGGGGACAGAGCATGTGACAGAGGAGGGGACAGAGCATGTGACAGAGGAGGGGACAGAGCATGTGACAGAGGAGGGGACAGAGCACGTGACAGAAGGAAGGGAGAGAGCATGTCACAGAGGAGGGGAGAGAGCATGTGACAGAGGAGGGGGGGAGAGAGCATGTGACAGAGAAGGGGGAGAGAGAGCATGTGACGGAGGAGGGGGGAAGAGAGCATGTGACAGAGGAGGGGGGGAGAGAGCATGTGACAGAGGAGGGGGGGAGAGAGCATGTGACAGAGGAGGGGGGGAGAGAGCATATGACAGAGGAGGGGGGGAGAGAGCATGTGACAGAGGAGGGGGGGAGAGAGCAAGGGTTAGGAGCTCACCAGTCATGTTGTCCCGGACCAGTTCGGCATCGTTCCGATACACCGCCGGACGATCCAACTCCGCCGGGAGGGACATCACCTTCCCCTTGTTTTTCTCCCGCCCCAATGCAGTTAGAACCAATCAATGGAGTATTTTGCCAATTGCGCACCGGGTATTGCTGCATGCTGTATAGAATGCCCCCTTTGTTGTTGGGCATTGTTGTTTCCACAGCAGTTGCAAGTGGGGCATGGTATCAGGGGACAGATAAGTAGATAACCCAGCCATCGCCTCTTCACTCGAAGGATACATCTGGATGTGACGAGCGTCATTCAGCCAGAAGAACTCGGTGATGACACTCCGGCACTTCGCCTGCCAGGAAAAGAATGTATGAGTAGATGGAAGGGTGGGGCAACACAAAATGTACGTGGTGGAGACCATTACAGGGCATGGCATGGTGAGTGCAGAGGAGCAGCGAGACAAGGCAGGAAGGGAGAGCACTGGAGGGGACAGAGCAGGAGAGGAGCGCACAGGAAGGGACAGAGCAGGAGTGGCAAATCTACGGGGAACAGAGCTGGTGGGAAGACTGCATGAGGGAATAGAGCATGAGAGGAAAGGGCAACAAGGGTTTATACGCACCTTCCAGTCTCCAGCATCGACGATCACCATTTCCAGAGCGATTTGTCCGGCACTCCGACTTGGAGGGCGAGGAACGCCTGTTGTTGCGTCGCTGCCCTGCGACGCAAGTCCTTGAGCAGGAACCGCGACTCCTTGAGCCCTGAGGCTCTCAAACTGTTGGAGTATCTCCTTCCTAAGCGCCGCAAACTCCGCTCGTGATACCCACTGCGTCTGCGCCACCCTGGTTGATACGGCAGCCAAAGCCGTGGGCCCTGGAGGCAGCGTCCTTACAGTAGTGGTACCCCTGGGCCTGAAAACTCCAGTAGATGCTGCTGCTGCTCCCACCCTCCCTCCAGTCGATGCCGCTGCTGCTCCCACCATCCCTCCAGTCGATGCCGCTGCTCCTCCCACCCTCCCTCCAGTCGATGCCGCTGCTCCTCCCACCCTCCCTCCAGTCGATGCCGCTGCTCCTCCCACCCTCCCTCCAGTCGATGCCGCTGCTCCTCCCACCCTCCCTCCAGTCGATGCCGCTGCTGCTCCCACCCTCCCTCCAGTCGATGCCGCTGCTGCTCCTCCCACCCTCACCCCAGTTGATGCTGCTGCTGCTCCCACCCTCCCTCCCGTTGACACTGCTGTTGCTCCCACCCTCCCTCCAGTCGATGCTGCTGCTGCTCCCACCCTCCCTTCAGTCGATGCCGCTGCTCCTCCCACCCTCCCTCCAGTCGATGCCGCTGCTGCTCCTACCCTCCCTCCAGTCGATGCCGCTGCTCCTCCCACCCTCCCTCCAGTCGATGCCGCTGCTCCTCCCACCCTCCCTCCAGTCGATGCTGCTGCTCCTCCAACCCTCCCTCCAGTCGATGCCGCTGCTCCTCCCACCCTCCCTCCAGTCGATGCCGCTGCTGCTCCCACCCTCCCTCCAGTAGATGCCGCTGCTGCTCCTCCCACCCTCACCCCAGTTGATGCTGCTGCTGCTCCCACCCTCCCTCCCGTTGACGCTGCTGCTGCTCCCACCCTCACCCCAGTTGATGCTGCTGCTGCTCCCACCCTCCCTCCTGTTGACGCTGCTCCTCCCACCCTCGCAACAGTCATACCCACAGGAGCTGCTGCTGCTCCCACTTGCATCGCACTAGTAGTTGCCCGCTGGGTGACCTGTAGCTGGGGCAGCTTCCCCCCTCCCCCCCCAAGGTTGAATCGCTCGATGGTGGTTGGCGGACCCACACCAGAATTCTTCACCGCTGATTGGTGTAGGGTGAGAGCAAGATGGGATAGGTCAGGATGGGTTAGCGCATGAGGGGACAAGTCAGGACGGTTTAGGGAAGCTAGTTGGGAATATTCATGGGACAACGGGAGTATTGACAGAGACGGATGGGAAAAAGCAAGGCGGGTCAGAACGAAGGGTTACAGGGCTGGAGGGCAAAAAGTGGATGACTTACGCTTTTTGGGCTTAGGTTTTGTCTTTGTCTTCCCCTCCATTGCTTCACCTTTACCCTTTGGAAGGGGTTTAGTGCTAGCCTTCTTACTCCTGCGCTTCGTGGGTGGCTTCGCCGCCGCCAATGCCCCTTTCACGGTCTGCCCTCCTTGTTTATCCTTTGCTTCTCCGCCACGCCCATTACCGCACTGTTGCGTATCATCCGGTGCGGCCCCCAGAATCATAAACCGCCCTTTCTTCACCACTCGTGCAGCTTCTTCATCCTCATCCAGCGTCGACCCGCGGCTGAGTGCTTGTACGCGTGTCCGCCGCCCATTAGTTCTCTCCTCTGCACTAAAATTGGAGTAATCGGACAGGCCTTCGCCCACATTGTCGCCATCTGCCTGGACCCCATCCGCCTCCTCTCCTTCCACCTGCTCGCCTTCCACCTCCTCTCCGGCCCCATCTACAGCCCCTATGCTTTCCCCCTCTTCGCCTTCCCCCTCTTCGCCTTCCCCCTCTTCGCCTTCCCCCTCTTCGCCTTCCCCCTCTTTGCCTTCCCCCTCTTCGCCTTCCCCCTCATTGCCTTCCCCCTCTTCGCCTTCCACCTCCTCGCCTTCCCCCTCTTCGCCTTCCCCCTCCTCGCCTTCCCCCTCTTCGCCTCCCCCCTCTTCGCCTTCCCCCTCTTCGCCATCCCACTCCCCACCTTCCGCCCCTTCGCCTTCTGCCTCCTCGCCAACAGCTCCTACGCCTTCCGCCTCTCCGCCTTCCGCCCCTTCACCTTCCCCCTCCTCGCCTTCCCCCTCCTCGCCTTCGTCCGCTTCGCCTTCGTCCGATTCGCCTTCGTCCGCTTCGCCTTCTTCCGCTTCCCCTTCGTCCGCTTCGCCTTCGTCAGCGTCGCCTTCGTCCGCTTCGCTTTCGTCCGCTTCACCTTCGTCCGATTCCCCTTCGTCCGCTTCCCCTTCGTCCGCCTCCCCTTCGTCCGCTTCGCCTCCGTCCGCTTCGCCTTTGTCCGCTTCACCAACCACCTTCTCGCCATACGTCTCGTCGCGATATGAACCGTCATCATTCGCCACACCAAACACCGCCTGTTCACCATGCGCCACATTATCGACCGCATAGCCGTTCGGATCGGCGGACGTTTCCGTACCGTCGTCATTCTCACCTAGAATGTCCGCGGTGAAGCCATCTGGGAGCTTGCGCCGTTCCTCGGTGGCGCATTGTGCTTTCTTACCACCTCGCTTTCGACGCCCACCGCCTTTTTTTGCGTTCGCCTGCTCTCCCGCCTGCTCACCCTTACGGCCTTGGGAGATGGTTGGCTGCGACATTATTGAGATGCAAAGGGCTGTAAGTGAAGGCGTTTGTTAGTAGTCACAGTTTTGAGCAAGTACTACAACCTCGAACCAAAACATCGCTTATAAACAGATCATGGTGCACCGCTCTTCGCACCTCGACGCTTGGTAGCCAGGTATCGGAGTAGCCATTGAACAAGATTCGTGCGCTACGCTCGTATCGTGCCCGGCGTGACAGCATCCCGACCACCACGGCTCGCAGATCGACGAATACGAGGGACGTGGGAGACATGAAGCCGCCACAAGAGACACGTACAGCACCGTCGGAAGGTTGACAATCGGTGGTAAGGCAAGTTACGTGCATCAGACAGAGGCGCGATAGCCATCTGCAGAAAACGAAGGCGACCAAAGAGGGTTGCACTGGACATCCTGCACTGGACGTGCGCACGGTAAGACTAAAAGAGAGAAACACCCATGCTGCACATCTGCTGGTGGGGTCCGTCATGTCGCGACTCGAGACGCTGTTCCTCTCACAAACGACGCGACGCATACTCCCTCTCAAGCGGTAGGATGTAAGTGGTTCGAAGTCAAGAACCGTGCAGCGCTTGTGATTGTAAGGACGCATGTCTTATGGCAAAAAATGTCTAAGGTCGACCCTATTACCGCGTTCTACCGTGGCAAAACGTCTCTTAAATACATCTGACCGTGCACAACCACTCTAGAAGTGCGAAATTTGGCCAAACTACGACCTCAAGGCCACTCGCCCTAAGTGCATGCACATGTTCTTGCTAATGGCTCGCTTTCTGGTGAGTGTCGCTGTAAAAAAAGGAAAGGCCTCCATTGGTCCCTGAAATCTACAGTGACCGGTGATGACGGCCGTAGATAGGGGGGTCGCTTTGAAGATCAGTAACAACTCTAAATCTAGATGTACAAAATGGTAGGCTTATGTAGATTACATTACAGAAGGTCTCTCTCAAAGATGCCATACTGAAAGCCACAGATTTGGTCAAGTGTTGGAAATTGTACGTGTGTGTTTGTTTTAGGATAGTCATAGCTATACATTGCATTAATACTGCTGAATCATGCACAAATATGCACAAGGGATTGGTTTATGTCTCCTAACGCGCTCATATTTCGATGTCTTTTAGGGCTCATAAACACTTTGGTTGAGGTATAAATCTTCATTCAAGTGTCTCTACTATTTCCCCTAGTCCTCCTCTATTGTTTTGTAAAGAAAAGCTTATTTCCCTGAATTTTACAAGAACCGCCGTAACAAGCTATACCAACGAAGCTTCTAGCACTCAACCTCTCATTCTCTCGCCATCACAGTTTGTGTCATCTCCATCTTTTGTGTTTACAATCAATGGAACCATGTGCTGCCTCTTTGACCAAGTAAGGTGCCAGGCTGTCAACATAATTTTGGTTGTTTCACAGGCCATCATCATATATACCAATAAACAATGCAAGCGTGATTGGATGGGCCTGATCTCTTAACCAACTCACTCCCCATATGCAATGAGCTCCTCATACAAACCTCAGAGCGTTCAGAGAAGCGGAACACAGTGGCGTGAAGGCAAGCGTCAAGGCAAGTGTCATGGTTGAAAAAACAGCCCCATTGCATTTGATGCACCGGCTTGAGTTACAATGCTAGAGTGATTGGATGGGCCTGATATCTTAACCAACTCTCTCCCCATATGTCATGAGCTCCTCACACCAATCTCAGAGCCGTCAGAGAAGCGGAACACAGTGGCGTGAAGGCAAGCGTCAAGGCAAGTGTCATGGTTGAAAAAACAGCCCCATTGCATTTGATGCATCGGCTTGAGTTACAATGCTAGAGTGATTGGATGGGCCTGATATCTTAACCAACTCTCTCCCCATATGCCATGAGCTCCTCACACCAATCTCAGAGCCGTCAGAGAAGCGGAACACAGTGGCGTGAAGGCAAGCGTCAAGGCAAGTGTCATGGTTGAAAAAACAGCCCCATTGCACTTGATGCACCGGCTTGAGTTACAATGCTAGAGTGATTGGATGGGCCTGATATCTTAACCAGCTCTCTCCCCATATGCCATGAGCTCCTCACACCAATCTCAGAGCCGTCAGAGAAGCGGAACACAGTGGCGTGAAGGCAAGCGTCAAGGCAAGTGTCATGGTTGAAAAAACAGCCGCATTGAACATGATGCACCGGCTTGAGTTACAATGCTAGAGTGATTGGGTGGGCCTGATATCTTAACCAGCTCTCTCCCCATATGCCATGAGCTCCTCATACCAATCTCAGAGCTTTCAGAGAAGCGGAACACAGTGACGTGAAGGCAAGCGTCAAGGCATGTTCACAAAAGCTGTCAGGCAGAAAAACAGAGACATGCATCAAGGCCTTCCTGAGCTGGGATTGGTATGATTCTTGGAACCTGAAACAGTATGATACCTTTGAACCATCCCTACAAGTCTCAGACTGATTGGACAACCAGAGCACACTCTGTTCACAAAACCAGTGAGCACATGGGGTGAATTCACTCAGGCAGAAAAACTGAGACATGCATCAAGGCCTTCCTGAGCTGGGATTGGTATGATTCTTGGAACCTGAGACAATATGATACCTTTGAACCATCCCTACAAGTCTCAGACTGATTGGACAACCAGAGCACACTCTGTTCACAAAACCAGTGAGCACATGGGGTGAATTCACTCAGGCAGAAAAACGGAGACAAGCATCAAGGCCTTCCTGAGGTGGGATTGGTATGATTTTTGGTACCTGAGACCATATTATAGCTTTGAACCATCCCTACATGTTTCAGACAGATCGGAAAACAAGAGCACACTCTGTTCAGAAAACCAGTGAGCACTACCGGTGAATTCTGTCAAGTTATAAAAATGATACAAGCAACAAGGCATTCCTGAGCTGGGATTGGTCTGATCCCTCTTGTAGAATGGTTATCTTTTGCTTGAGCGTACAGTTCTCCAATCCATTTCGTAATAATATAGTACCCTTTCTGGTTTGGACATTTGTTTTGTGCATGATTTATACCAAGATAATGTTTAGACTAAGTTCACTGCACTACACTGCTCCTCGACCTTTCGCCTCCACCTCGACAACACTCTAGTATCAGATACGTGTCCTAGATCTCGGCATCGCGTTTGCGCTCGTTATTCAAAACTTTGCCAGTTCAAACTGCTGTCGCGTCACCTCTGGTTTTCGTTTCACCTTTTCTAATACATACTGATCTATCCACCACTACTGGCAACGCCTTGTACAAAGCTCCATAACTCCAGTCATATCGTCAATCCTCTCGCCTAATGTCCGACACATAGCGATTTCGTCACCACCTGTAGTCATGACACGCCATGAGTGGATTTCGTGCCGGTTTTGCACCAACCAGTTCAAGGACGCTAAGGCTTTTGGACAGCACAAGGGGAGGTCCAGCTGTCGCTTAAAGTATGCCGCTGGAACTGCTGCAACTGAAACGGTGGCTGAGCAATATGTCTTCATGGTGGCGGATGCTCCGCCTCCGTCCAACACCAATACCGAGCCACGTCTGGAGCCTAGTGACGCGGACGAGCCAGCGACCTCCGCTATTGGATCCGACGCGAGCAGCTCTGACACCTCTGCTTGCGGGTCTAACCCGCAACCGCTTTCATTCGAAGATCTGAATGGCGAGGACAACACTGCGACCAGCAATGCTTCAGCACCTCCGATTTCCGTTGTTGCACAGTCCCAGGCCCCATTCCCCACGGATCCTTTAGTATTGCGCTTCATCCATCTGGTCCGCCTCGCCAATGGTAAGATGGGCATGGCGGAAGTCGATATTAATGGGATACTGCAGCTGTTGATGTATCCAGAGCTCGCGGAGCTGGTGTTGGCGAAGTTCAAAAACTGCCGGGAGCTCAAGCGCTTCGAAATCGAAGAGCTCGCTGGCCTAGGCCGTGGGTGGAGCGTGGCAACCTTCGAAGTGGATGGCTTTGATGAGCAGACGTTGTTTTTCCGAGATCCGGCGCAGGTGACTTCCCCCTTGCATGCCCATCTCGATGTTGCTCCGCTCCTCTGCTGTTCTGCTCATCTACATTTCCAATCTCCTGCTGTTCCAATCCTCTCCTGTTCCACTCCTCTGCTGTTCCGCTCCTCTCCTGTTCCGCTCCTCTCCTGTTCCGCTCCTCTCCTGTTCCGCTCCTCTCCTGTTCCGCTCCTCTCCTGTTCCGCTCCTCTCATGTTCCGCTCCTCTCATGTTCCGCTCCTCTCCTGTTCCGCTCCTCTCCTGTTCCGCTCCTCTCATGTTCCGCTCCTCTCCTGTTCTGCTCCTCTTCTGTTCCGCTCCTCTCCTGTTCCGCTCCTCTCCTGTTCCACTCCTCTCATGTTCCGCTCCTCTCCTGTTCCGCTCCTCTCATGTTCCGCTCCTCTCCTATTCCGCTCCTCTCCTGTTCCGCTCCTCTCCTGTTCCGCTCCTCTCCTGTTCCACTCCTCTGCTGTTCCGCTCCTCTGCTGTTCCGCTCCTCTGCTGTTCTGCTCCTCTGCTGTTCCGCTCCTCTGCTGTTCCGCTCCTCTGCTGTTCCGCTCCTCTGCTGTTCCGCTCCTTTGCTGTTCCACTCCTCTGCTATTCGGGACCTCTGCTGCTCATCTATTCTTCCGTTCCGCCCCTATGCGCCATGTAATCGCAGGCCTTGGCGGACATGTTTGGAGACCCAGCCAATGCACCCGGCTTTGTGCTGAAGCCACGCATGGACACTGACCCTGAAACCGGCCAGCGACGCTACTCCACCCCAGAGACGGGCACATGGTGGCATAATGCCCAGGTATGCCGCATTTGCGCACCTGCAACTAACACCTCATGACTTCGTTATTCACCTGTTCTTGCCTACGTGCCTTGTTGATTCCATGCCTGTCATATTTCCTCACCTGCAAGTCACCTCTCTGTGTCTTGTCTAGTCAAACATTACCCTTGTAGCACACTGTCACCTCATACTTGCGTCACTCACATGCTCTTGATTCCATGCCTTGTGTATTCCAGCCGTATACTCCATTCTCACACACACCTCTCACCTGACAATCCTATTACTCGCCTGCTATTGCCTACACTCGTGTAATCTAGGCCTGTCCTTCGATCTCAACCCAACCTCATCCTTGCGTTACTCAACTGCATTCGCCTGCTTTTTGGTTGGAGGCTGACAATCCCCCTCTATTCGACCCTATATGCAATTGCAGGATCATGTGGGAGAAGGTGAGGTAGTTGCGGCCATTATGCTCTACAGCGACGTGACGCACCTGAGTGAAAATGGGCGCAAATTGGCTTGGCCTGTTATGATGACATTGGGGAACATCCGGCAGGGCAAGCGCTGGGCATCGTCTGGGCACTGTCTGCTCGGAACTCTCCCTATCCCCCCCACTACCATGTCACCCGGTCAGAAAACTGCCCTTTTCCAACAAGCCGCATTGACCATGCTTGAAAAGATCCTTGCGGGGCGAGAAAGGTGATCATTGTTTAATAATTATTTTTACACTAAAATGTCTACCCACTGGCTCCCACTCTGCCATTCCGGCGCCCAATTATGACGTGGTAACTGAAGCGTGTCCCCCCCTTGCCATGTTTGCCATTCTTGCAAAACCCATTGCTCTTGTTTTTTTGCTATATATATATATTTCTTAACAAAGCAGATTCCCCATATATCAGCGTGTGATTATGATGACCAAACCCCTTTCGTTCCACAACATGCATTTCCATGACAGTGGCTTCTTGCTCAAGGACCCCAATGGAGTGGAGCATGTGGTCAGACCCATGCTTTACACATGGGTCTGTGATTACCCCGAAAGTGGGAAAGTCACCTGCACCTTATCTGGTGGCACTGCTCGTCCTTGCAGTATCTGCTATGCTGAGAAGGTAAGACACTATTCCGACCGCCTTACTTGCGCCCCCACTACCATACTTGGCATTCTTGCGCCCCCGCTGCCATAGGTTTCACCTTTGCACCCCCACAGCCATGGCGCTCTCATTTGCACCGCCACAACTATGGTTGATATCCTTGCACCCCCTTTCAGGAGCATCTTGACTGTGTCACTGCTGAGAACACGCCTAGGACAGTCGACCAACAACGCTGGATCGTGGAGCATGCAGGGGACAAGTTGGGAACTGAAAAGACGGCTGCGGCCCAGTTTTCCACATTCGGCATTGAGGTATGTGCATACATGCTTAATTATATTAGCGTTCTTGAAGCTATCTACTTCTAAAATCGACTATGTTGAGCGATTTGTTTGCAGTGCGCACTCTGGCACTGGGATGTGCCTGGCGCGCCATGGGCGAATCCGTACCAAGCGATCATGCCTGACATAATGCACCAGTCCGACCTGGGCATTCTACACCACATCGTGGCTGCGGTTCGTGCATCATACGACCGGAGCCTCGCCTTGTTCGACGCGTAAGTCCCCTTCCAAAACTGCTTCTCCTATCAGCATCCCATCCACATGACTTATTCTGTCACACCCTACTGCCTCCTAAACTCTGTCCATTTCCCACCATGCTTTTTTCGCTCGCCCCATCCCCATCACCCCTGCTGCTTCACTCACTCCCCTGCCACATACATCCCACATTTGCCAATCACCCTTGCTGTTTTTCGCTCGCCCCATCCCCATCACCCATGCTGCTACACTCACTCCCCTGCCACATGCATCCCCCATCTGCCAATCACCCTTGCTGTTTTTCGCTCGCCCCATCCCCATCACCCCTGCTGCTTCACTCACTCCCCTGCCACATACATCCCCCATCTGCCAATCACCCTTGCTGTTTTTTTCTCGCCCCATCCCCATCACCCCTGCTGATTCACTCACTCCCCTGCCACATCCATCCCCCATCTGCCAATCACCCTTGTTGTTTTTCGCTCGCCCCATCCCCATCACCCCTGCTGCTTCACTCACTCCCCTGCCACATCTATCCCCCATCTGCCAATCACCCTTGCTGTTCCTTCGTCTGCCCGCCTTATCTTTCGCCCATGCACTCCCATTTTTAGGCGACTAGCTCAAATCCGCACTGATACGAGGATGACTAACGTCCGTTTTCCATCAGCCAACTATTTCACGTCCTCTGCCCGAATCGCGGCATACGAGCATCGTGCGGTGCTCATGGTACGTGTTTGTTTATGCCTATGGAGCTTACGTTTTGTTGCTGATGCCTTATTGTGGACAATGCATACACAAGATTTGCACTAACCCACACCCTCCCCAGGTGCTCCTCTTCATCGTCTCAGACACGCTGGAGGAGAAGTGCTTGAGCGCAATCCGAGCGTACCTGGATTGGTACCTATTCTGCGCCAAGCAACCCGGCCACACGGAGAGAGATCTGTCGACTCTAGAGGGTTTGACTGATAGGTACCATTCCATTTCATGATTAACTGTTCTTTTCGGTTTATGTGCTGTAAAAAGACCCAAAGGATCCTGAACCCATTACTCAAAAGTGTGATCAATAACACCTTACACCCAATGTTGCTGGTCCTTTGTAAATGCACACCATGCCAAGTGCTGTCTATAATTGATCCCACTCCAACAGGCTGGTCAAAGAGCTGCAGGATGCCTTTCCTGAGCAAAAATCAGAGTGGTGTTTGATCAAAACACACCTCATGACACACTACCCTGGAGCGATAAGGAGAGCAGGCCACGTCTCTGAGTACTCATCAGCAATGTTTGAACATCTGCACGGGCCGTTGGTGAAGCGAATCTATCGACGTACCAACAAACGTGGCGTCGAGGCCCAAATCATGGAACACCATGAGAAAAGGGCGGTATACCAAACTCTGGACACACCCGAGTGCGCCCACGAGACATCAATGCTGCAAGTAAGTCCTCATTTATTGACACAACATATGCAGCACCATTCTGCAATGGTTAACACACAAAATATTGGATACATGCAGGCAACAAACTGTCAGATTTATATGACATAGTTGCTGTAGGCTATAGTGGGGTAGCACATATGGGGTACAGGGTTTCTAGGGTTGTATTTGTACCCAATCTTTCCTTAGTCATTTCATTCCTGCTTACTCATTTCACATGGTATAGAGCGGGTTCCCTGTGGAACTCTGCCTAGGGCCCACCGAAGCGCGCCCCGAGGCGCGCTCAACTTTTTTTTCCGCTCTCGAGCGACCCTCCGTGTCGCCTCCCTCCCACACGCGGCCCCAGCCGCCCGCTACGATCGCGGCCCCAGCCGCCTGCTCGACGCGGCCCCCAGCCGCCTGCTCGACGCGGCCCCCCAGCCGCCTGCTCGACGCGGCCCTGCCGCCCGCTACGCCGCGGCCGCCGCCCACTACGATCGCGGCCCCGGCCGCCTGCTACGACCGCGGCCCCAGCCGCCTGTTCGACCGCGGCCCCGCCGCCCGCTCCTGTCGCGGCCCCGGCTGCCTGCTCGCACGGCCTCGCCGCCCGCTACTACAGCGGCCCCGGCCGCCTGCTCGACCGCGGCCCCCCCAGCCGCCTGTTCGACCGCGGCCCCGCTGCCCGCTACTGTCGCGGCCCCGGCCGCCTGCTAGCGCGGCCTCGCCGCCCTCTACTACCGCGGCCCCGGCCGCCTGCTTGCACGGCCCCGCCGCCTGCTACGACCGCGGCGCCAGCCGCCTGTTCGACCGCGGCCCCGCCGCCTACTACCGTAGCGGCCCCGGCCGTCTTCTCGCGCGGCCCCGCCGCCCACCTACTACCGCGGCCCCAGCCGCCTGCTCGCACGGCCCCGCCGCCTGCTACGACCGCGGCCTCCCAGCCCACTAGGCTGCGGCCGCCGCCTGCTCAACCGCGGCTTCGCCGCCCACTACGCATCGGCCCCGCCGTCCACCTGTAGCGACTGTGCGGGCGGACCTCTGAGCAGCTGTGCCGCCGAGCCGCCCGGGAGCCGAGCCGCCCTGCAGCCGAGCCGCCCGGGAGCCGAGCCGCCCTGCACCCGAGCTGCCCTGTCGCCGAGCCGCCCGGGAGCCGAGCCGCCCTGCCCCCGAGCTGCCCTGCCGCCGAGCCGCCCGGGAGCCGAGCCGCTGTGCACCCGAGCCGCCCGGTCGCCGAGCTGCCTTTCTGTCGAGCTACGCGACCTGCCCTGCCTGGTGAGCACAGTCCCACTGTCACTGCGTGCTCTCCCCCCTACTGCTTGCACTGCTTCACAGTCGTCGTCATGGCTACCCCTAGTGTCCTAGCTTTTGACGCTGAGGGTCGCGCCATTGATTTTGAGGTCTGGCTAGATGACCTGCAGCTGTTCTTACAGTGCGACAGAGCTGACGACCTTTCTCTCTTTGACCTCACCTCTGGCGCCTCTCCTGCTCCTGCTACTGATGCTGATCCCGCTGTCCGCTCTAAGTGGGCCACCCGCGATGCTGCTGCACGTCTTGCTGTGCGTCGCCACCTTCCTACCTCTGAGCGTGCGCACTTCAGTCAGTACAAGAGTGCTCAGACCTTGTACGACGCTGTAGTTGCGCGCTACTCCTCCCCTGCCACTGCTGCACTGAGCCGTCTCATGCTTCCCTACCTCTTTCCTGACCTCTCTGCCTTTCCCACTGTCGCTGACCTCATTACGCATCTCCGCACTAGTGACACTCGCTACCGCGCCGCCCTTCCTGCTGAGTTCTGCGCTAAGAACCCCCCCCCCATGTACATCGCTCTCTACTACGTAGTCGCGCGCCTCCCTGACTCCCTTCGAGTCGTCAGGGACCACTTTCTCGCAGTCTGCCCCACCACGCTCACCGTCGACCTCCTCGAGAAGGCCCTCCTCGCAGCGGAGAAGAGCATAGTCGCTGTAGGTGCTTCTCGTGGTGACCCTCGCACCCCCATCTTTGAGGGGTGCTCTCCTTCCCCCTTGCTGCCCTCTGTTGCCTCT